CCCCCACCCCCACCCCCACCTAAACCTGTGTGGAATTCATCTAGGGAGCCTCTATATACTCCCTTAGGAAAACACTTAGGGGCAAGCACTTTCTTGAGCACCCTTGATTGTTGAGCTTGCTGGGTTTAAGTCATGGTTCAAGCACAGATGGCAGGTATATCTCTGGGCATGCTGAGCTCAAGGTCACAGGCACACATTTGAAAGGTCACTGGTGGACAGGGTCACTTCTGGGAATGCCCAACTTTTTTTCAAAAATGTTTCACTGAAACAAAAGGAAAGAACACTTTAAAGGTGTTAACACAGGAGTTTGCCCACAAAGGCCCTGCCTTGTTTAACCTGTTAGTACTAGACTTTTGTGTACCATTTTATTATATTACATTATGCATGATAACCTCTTAGAAAAAAACTTTTTGGTCTTTTTGAGACAGGGTCTCCCTGTAGCCCCAGCTGGCCTGGGACTCACTATGTAGACCAGGCTGGCCTTGAACGCACAGAGACTCTCCTGCCTCTGCCTCCCAAGTAGAAGTGCCACTACACCCGGCTCTCTTAGACAATTTTAAATGGTGATTTCTTTTTCTACTTTTTAAATTTCTAATACATTTATGTGTGTATACATGTGTGTTTGTGTGTATGTAGGCACACTTGTCAAGGTCAGAAGTCAGCTTGCAGGAGTCAGTTCTCTCCTTTCACCATGTGAGTCCATGAAATTAGACTCAGGTTGTCAGACTTGGTGGCAAGTGCTGTTACCCACTGAGCCATGTCTCTGGCTCACTTTATTTTTTAAACTACTTTTCCCTTTTCTTCTATACGCCTCCTAATATTGACTCAGAAATCCTCTGAGAAGGCAAGGGAGGAAAAAAGCACGAGGGTAGAAGGAAGGTAGAACGAAGCCGAGTAATTTCCTGTAGCAAAAGGGCAGACCCTGGGCTATAGGACAAAAAGCTTCGAGCTCCTCGTAGACCTGATGAACCCTCGGGGAACCTGGGTGAGTAATTTCATTTAACCATGCCCCACGTTTTGCCAGACCAAAGAGTTTGAGTGTCTGCATACTTAGAGAGCATTGGGATGCGTCTTTGTGTCATAAATATCCAGCAGGTCTGATGGGAAATGAGATGCCATGAAACAGTCAAGCCTGTTTTCCATCACCTTTCAACAATCCAGACTTCTCCCTGGTTCACTCACTGATAGGATATCCCTGGAGAACAGGCTGAGCAGTGTGTGTGTGTGTGTGTGTGTGTGTGTGTATGTGTGTGTGTGCCTGAGAGAGAGAGAGAGAGAGAGAGAGAGAGAGAGAGAGAGAGAGAGGTACATATAATGGCTTTATTGACATATAATTCACATGCCTACAAATTACCCATTACAGAGTACAATTCAATGGTTTTTAGCCCATCCAAAGTTGTGTGAACAACAACACAATTGATTTTAGAATATTTTCCTCACCTCAAGAAGAAACACCACTTTTGGATATATATCTAAAAGAACTGAGAGCAGAAAGTCAAGTGTGGTGGCACACATCTTTAATCCTAGCAGTTGGGAGGCAGGGGCAGGCAGAGCTCTGAGTTCAAGGCCAGCATAATCTACATAGCTACTCCCAGGCCAGCCAGGTCTACATGATGAGATGCTGTGTCAAAAAGTAGAGGCGGGGGGCCTAGAAAGATCACTAGCTGCTTTTGCAGAAGACCCAGTTTGAGCCCCAGCACCCACATGGTGGCTAACAACTGTCTGTTACTCCAGTTCCAGGGGATCTGATGCCCTCTTCTGTCCTCCTTGGGGCATGACATGGGTGCATTTATATATGTGCAGGCAATACACTCATAAAATAAAAATAAATAAATATAAGAATTGAAAGCAGAGTTTTGGAGAGATGTTTATACCCCTGCTAATAGCAATACCATTCAATGTAGTTAAGCACTGGAAGCAACCGAAATATCTGTGAACAGATGAACAGAATATCATATAGAGAGATAAACAAACATACATACATATAGACAGACAGACAGACAGATAGGAATATTATTCAGCCTGAAAAGGGAAGATAATTCTGACATATACCACAACATGGATGAGCTTTAAAGGCATCATGCTAGGTGAAATAATACAGCCACAGAAAAAGACAAAAGCTACTTATTTCCACTTATATGAGGTGCCTAGCTAGAGGAGTCAGATTCATAGAGACAGAAAGTAGAATGCTGGCTTCCAGGGGCTGAGGGCAAAGAGAAAAGGACAGTTACTGTTTATTGAGGAGAGTTTCTGTTTTGCGAGATGAAAAGAGTTTTGGAGATTTTTTTTTTTTTTTGGCATGACAGTGTGAATGCCCTCAATGCACTGAAAAATGACCAAGATGACAAATTTTGCTATAAATGCATTACTAAAAGAGAACAAAATAAAAGGCCACAGCTCCCACCTCCTTATCACACATTTCCCTAGGGAGTCACAAATCTACTTTCTGTTTTAGATGCACTTACCATTCATATAAAAGGAATCATAATATGTGGTCTCTTATCTCTGATTTTCATCACTTGGCTAATATTCTCAAGGTCCACCCATATTGTAGCAAGTATCAATACTTTCTATTGCTGAACAGTATGCCATTATACAGTTATACTACATTCGACTTGTCCATTCACTACGTGATGGCATTTAGGTTGTATCCTTGAGTGATGAGTTTTCCTCAGGGTAAGGGAGTACCTTGCTCTGGTAGGGTAACTTCTTAACCTTTACAACATAAGCGGGTCTCAGAAATGTCTATGGGTAGAGGAGAAAAAGAAGGTGGAGAACTAGGAGGAAAAAATTAAGACAGGAGGGAAGGAAGGAAGGAAGGAAGGAAGGAAGGAAGGAAGGAAGGAAGGAAGGAAGGAAGGAAGGAAGGAAGGAAGGAAGGAAAGGGAAAGAAGAGACACGTCTGCCACAGAGAGGGAGCAGTGTGTGACAGTCTGGCCAGCATGCTCAGGAGAAGTGTGCCAGTACTCTGGCTTATACATCCTCCTTCACTGACTGACTGGTGCTGTCTGACTGTTATCAAATAGAACCACACGAGAACTCTGGAAGTGTCTGGCTTGGGATTTCCTCTGTGGGGCTGAAAGTGGTGGATAATCACGCATCCAGGCAGACAGTAGACTAGCCAGGCCAGGCTGATGCACTCTTGTGCTGTGCATTTTGCTCAGTGTGAGCACTAACTGAACAGCATTTACAGGAATGGGGGGATTAAAAGTAACAATAAATGTCTATGCTATGCTTTCAGCCTGCAACTGCCACCCCCTTGGGAGTCTGCCACTCTCCACCTGTGATGTGGATACAGGCCAATGCTTGTGCCAGGCTCATGTCACCGGACCTCGCTGCGAAGAGTGCACTGTGTGTATTTACCTATAATTTCGTTTTCACGTTGTGATGTGGATTCTGCTCCATTGCCCAGAATAGACTTAGAATTGCTTTCCTTGTTCTATTGCTCAGTACCTCTCTAGAATGAATCTTCACACTATAGAAATTAGCAAATATCCAGCCAAGAGATGGCCCAGCAGATAAGGGTGCTTGCCACCAAGCTTGATGACCTGAGGTGATTCCCCAGAACCCACATGATTGAAGGAGAGAACTAACTCCCAAAAGTTGTCCTCTGAACTCTACAGACACACTTCTTGCATGGATATGGTGTCTCTCTCTCTCTCTCTCTCTCTCTCTCTCTCTCTCTCTCTCTCTCTCTCCCTCTCTACCAATCAATATTTTTAAAATGTAAGAATTGACAAATCTTGAGCATAAAAATTCCCTGTAGAGGCCATTAAACATCTACAAGAACACCACTGGACTGGACTGAACACAGCCAGCAGAGGTATCAATAGCATTATACATTGCTGTCTTGAGAGTGTCAGGGGAAGCAGAACATTTGTCTCCCCGCCCCACCTTTGGGGCTTAGAGACTATGAAGCCTTCTTTTATATCATGCATACAATCCCCAGGACCACCCCTGCCTCTCTCTGCCTAAAAATATTTTAGATAAGCTCTTAATAACAACCTGGATTTAAATGTATTTTAGATTTCTGTGGGAAATGAACTCTTGAAATTTTCACAGACACCACTAAACATATGAGCATGTATATTCTAAAATTAGTAAAATTAAACATTTTTATAAGAAATGTGTCATGTAATCAGGGAGTTTAAACCCAGCTCTTTCCTTTGTTCTCACATCTTGGCAGCCCACCATGATGTTTTAGACCGAGAAAAACAAAAACTTAACCTAATAAAAGAACAGTGACCTTGATGTGTCTAAAGAAATGTAGCTGATAAATAAGAAACATATGCCTAAGAGGAAATAGTTTGGGGCTAATAATTTAAGTCATTTTACTGAAAACAGCAGGATGATGTGGAGTTGATGAGGAAGAGGAGTAAGAAAGTAAATATGAAAGATGGACTCAGGCAGGCACAGTACTCCAAAAGTTTTGCAGAAAAAGAGAAAAGTCAGCCATCCCAGTGACTATGTATGAGCAAATCAAAGGGTGTGCCCCATGTGGCAGCTTCACAGAAGACTCCAAATCACATCACTTCAAATAAGCCTTGGACCCAGGAAGCTGGTGGGTTCATTGCCTGTGTGCAGTGCAGGACTCAGTCACGTTTTTAGGAAGAAAACAACTGGTCAGGGACCACTGGAAAGAGGGGAGCTGTCGGTCACAGCTGATCCCAACACCAGGTGACCTTCACCCACATTTAGCTGATGGTATCCTGGATGACAAACATGAAAGGAGGTCCTTAACCCTCCCAGCTACATCTGGACTGAAGCAGTTTCAATTCACTTTTTTTTTTCTTAAACTGACATTTGGTTTGAGGAAAAATATGAAAAATCCTTAGCCTCATTTCCTGTGCATTATGTCAATTTTTCATGTTTAAAATATTTTTTGAGGAGCTAGAGAGATGGTTCAGTGGTTAAGAGGACCTGGGTTCGATTCCCAAGTACCCACATGGTGGCAATGAACCATCCTTAACTCCAGTTCTAGGGGAATCTGAAGCCCTCTTCTGACCTCCGTGGTATTGCAGGACATGGGTGCACTCACATACATGCAGACAATACACTCATACACATAAAATACACATAAAAATAAATACTTTTTGAGTAAAATTAGATATAAAATTCACCAAGTTAACAAAAATGTGGACTGTTGAGACCATTTCAAACAAGAATCTCAAACCTACTTAAATATACATTTTATCTGAGCCTGTTAAATTGAGATTTGAGGTATTTTTGAGGTATTTTGAGCATCTTGTACTATTGGAGTTTTTTAAGTTATTAGTATTTGACCAGTTGTTTATGTTCCATAAAGGTCAAGATGTTGCAATGACCAGCTCTTGAACGGCAGAGTTGATTCTCACAGGGTTCACATTGCACCCAAATGACTGGTTAACCTGAAGGACTGGTTGATAAACAATTGTATCTGCTGAACTTGATATCCATAGAATATCTTAAAACCAGTTCAACTGATTTTCCCCCACCTCCAAACATTTCAGTGTAGTGTGATTAAAATTCCCAGAGATCACTGTGGTAAGGAATAGGTTTTATTAAAACAGCTCAAGATAGTCTGGTAGAAGAATACCACAGGTTCTAAAACAGTAGTCTTCAAATGACTCAGCTTGAGAAAAATCTGGTATTGTGAAGAAATCATTGGCTTGTCATTACATTTCCCCTGAAACAGTGAGTGGATAGCCCTTTGTCCCTGTTACTCAAGTCTTAGAAATGGAAGAGGTGTTATCCATGGACTGTTCCAAAGTGTGGGGGCAATGAAGGCTATGCTCAGCTATTTGATATGTGATGGTTGTGTTGTTGTGATTTCAGTTTTATACTTTGGCACAGTACAGATATTCACAGCTGGACTCAGCCAAGCCTCTCTCTCTAGGTTGGATACTGGGGACTTAGGGACCACCTCCACAGATGTTCTCCCTGCGACTGTGATATTGGAGGTGCTTATTCTAATGTGTAAGTCAGAAGAGTGGCTGTGAAGTTTTCCTCATTTCCACATGAAAGCACATTCTACTCTGGTCATCGGCACAGGAGAAAGAATTTTATTCCATGACAAGAAAGGGGTATTGAAAAACAATGACCTTGAGATGGTCAGGAGAGCACGGCTGATTTCTTTTGCCTCAGATATTTCCAAGTGTGAGATAAACAACTCTACCTGAGTGTTCCCCAATGTGGTCAGATGGATGCCTGAAAATGGGTGATTTGACTTTACCTTAACCTCCATCTTTGTCCTCCCCTGTCAAGAGAGCTCCTATGCCCCTCCTTTCCCCACAGATTGGTAGATGGTCTAAATTCAGCTCCCCCATACCTTTACTTCACCTTCAGTCTCTCCATGCTCCCTCACATTGCATTCTTTCCTGCAGGTGCTCACCCAAGGATGGGCAGTGTGAGTGCCGCCTGCATGTCACCGGTCGCACCTGCACAGAGCCTGCCCCTGGTTACTTCTTCGCTCCTTTGAATTTCTATCTTTATGAAGCAGAGGAAGCTACACCACTCCAAGGACTTGCACCTTTGGTTTGTATTTCATTTCCTCTCCCCATAGACTTCATTTGATGGCAGGTCAGGAAACACACAGCACAGCCTAGAGCTTGAGGCTAAGGTACCCAGGACAGGATGCCTTAGCCGACAGAGTCAGGTCAGAGCTGTTTGTTTTATCATGCAGCTACAGGTTATATAAATTATGAGAGCTGAGTGTGTTTTATCTTTGTATCCTATTGGTAGCCCAGAGCCTGGCACATAAATGCAAATGAGAACAACTTGTGACAAGACAGAATACTCTGGTTTTTTCGGTCAGATCCAGTGCTCTCATTGACTGGTCTCACCTACTGCTCTGTTTCCACCCTGGTGTACAAACGACAAGGCAGTGTTTGTTCCATTCGCCAGGCTTGCATCAGTGCCTACCTTAGGGCTGGGCACATAGTAGGGAACTTATGAGTAGATGAATGAATAAAGTAATAAGATTTTTTTTTTTTTGGTCATTTTGAGACAAGGTCTCCCTGTAGCCCCAGCTGGCCTGGAATTTACTATGTAGACCAGGCAGGCCTTGAACTCATAGAGATCTGCTTACCTCTGCCTCCCAAGTGCTGGGATTAAAGGCATGGACTACCATACCCAGCTAGTAATAAGATTTTCAAGAGCATGACTCATTAAAATAGAAAATCCCAAGTCTCCTGAGGGCCCATCTCTCTCCACTGATAGACTAGAAAAAGAAGGCACTTCAGGAAATGACTTGGACAAGTGGGGCCTGGAATGAGTTCTGTTTTCTTTATTCAAATCATTTATTCAAGCAAAGTCAATTTATTCACTTCAGAACTGGCTTTCACATGCTTTCTCTCCTTAAAGACTTTTATCTTGAGTCGCCTTATCCTTTCCCTGGTTGGAGTCATGCACTCGAGGTGGAGAGATGCAGGTATCCTGCGTGACTTTTCTTGAGGCTGCTCAATAGGACGCACGACCACCTAAAACATTTTGGAATCTGAAACTCAAAGTAAGGTACGATTAACGCATTTGATGGTTAGCTAAAGTGTCATCTTTACTCTTCTTAAGATATTAGCAACAGCTTTGCCAACATGTGACGTATACTTCCAGCAACAAGGGAATGATTTCAGAATAGACAGAGGAAATATAATCCTGAAGAAAAATCAGAAACAAAGCCTGCATGCTGATGAGAAGGATGAGGTAAGCCATTTTGTCAGCGGCTACTGTTCACGCACTGAGAGCTCTGCCTAATCCTGCAGATGCTCAGACCATGTAAGCTCTGATTGGCCTCCTCATTGGAGATGGAGAGAAAGAAGACCTGAACTGAAAGCAATTAGAGACTCCTTGGGCAGGCAGGGGGGCGGGTGGAGGGGAGGTACAATAGCTTTATATCTCTTCAAAGCAGAAGTTCTAAAACCAGGTTGTAGGTTGGTAGGGAATCCGGCCTGTGAACTTGCAATTCCTTGTCATTTTTGCTAGGGGAGGTGAGTGCTAAGGAGTGGCTTTCCTCTAAATTGAAAAAGAAGAGAGTGCCACATGCCCTGGGTGGGGAACTGCAGACACCAAGGTGACTGGTCACGGCTGGTGTGAACCAGAACAATGCCACATCCTCAGGGCCCTGCATCCAAGGCCTTCAAAAGTATGGCCATCCAAAGAGTATTCACTCAAAATGAGAGCCCCACTGATGCCTGTTTGCTCATTCAGTGTTTTGTCACACACATCCATTTTGAGATTCTCGTGCATATGCATAAATGTGTGCACTGGAGAAACTGAGGAGCAAATGGAAGCAGAGTGAGCTGTCTTATTGGATATTTGTTAGCCGCCAGATGGGTTCCAGGAATCAAACAATCGAATTAAGAGCAACCAGTGCTCTTAATTGCTGAGCCATCTCTCCAGCCCTCAAGGTAATTTTCTTTTTTTTTGGAGAACATCTTACTATGTAGCCCAGGCCAGTGTAGAACTCGCCACCTTCCTACCTTCAGTCTCCTCAGTGCTGGGATTATAGAGACATGCCACCACATGCAATGTGAGAGACCTTCGTGAGAGAGTGAAATGTTGAACAGGTGAAACAGTACTTAACATGGAGCTGCCTTGAGATTGCAGTGGAGGAATGAACCATGTGCATAGACATCCTGCCTATGCCCTGATAGGTAAAGGGTGGTAGGGAGCCTCAGACAGCATAGGGGCTTCAGATGAAGGAGAAAGACCCTGCCTGAGGATGTCAGAGAGACTTCACGGTCCTTGTTCCTTCTACCAGCTTTGTGTGTGCCAGTCATGATGACTTTGCTTTCTGCTACTTGTTTCTGTGTTCACACTACAACCCACGAACCTTTCTGACCCTGGGTTGGAAGTCTTTCTTCAATTTGGAGTCACCCTGAAGAGAGGGTTGGGAAGCAAGTCAGTGTTCCCCTCCCCTTGTCCCTGGACCACAGATGAATGCTGCTCAACTTTTACTGTATGTAAGCATCCCTAGGGAGAGTGTTTGTTAAAAATGAGCCCAGAGGTGGTGCATCAGGGAATCTGGAGCCATCCAAGAACTCTGTGAGTTGGCCAAGCATCCCAGGGTGATTCTGATCCAAGTAGTCCATAACAGCACTTTGAGAGGCCTACTCTGAACATCCAGGACACACACTTCTACCTCTTGCCTGAAATGGCCAGCTCTGTGTTAGTGACTTCAGAAATTCCCTTCATCCCTTTAGACTCAACTCAGATGTGTCTTTCTCTGACATGCTCTACCCTGACATCCAGATATAATTGTTTCCATCTCAAGGGTTCCCATGGGGAGGTGATAATCAAACTGAAGACAGTGCCTGTTAATAAGTAGGCTAGACAGTCAGTTGTGTGAGTTGGTTTAGTACAACTGAAGGATAGGTAATAAGATCATATTTTGGTGCAAGTTTTGTTTCAATTTTATAAAGGTGTGTGTGTGTGTGTGTGTGTGTGTGTGTGTGTCGAATGCTTGCAAACATGCACATATGCCATCAGTGTCATGTTGAATTCCCTAGAAGCTGAGATATTTAAGGGGATTCAGATGTCTGTTTTACTAAGGGGATTTTTGTCAAAAAACTTGTAAAATATTTCTGGAAGTAGACTAGTGAGGAAGAAAAAGTTAAGCAGGAGTAGAGTCTTAGGCAAAGTCTATCTTTGGCCTGATCGCTCAAGGAAGCACTGAAGTAGAAGTCACACAGCAGAGTCATCCTCTACGAGGCATAGAGACTAGCCTGACGCATTCCTACATCAGCCAGGAGTTGGCTGTGGGCATTGAGCCTTCCAGAAGAAGCCTCCCCTCAGCCAACAGCAGTTCTCAAGAAAGGGAGGCAGTTGCTGTGCTGGCCACAAAAGGGGTCCCGGCAGCATCCCCTTGGCCTCTGCTAAAGACCACTTCCTGTGTGCTCAGACCACGTTCATTTCTATTTGTCTAGCACAAACAGAAATGCCAGGGCCCTTGTTCACAATTCAGAGAGGTCTATTAAAAGTACTATTACTTTTAATAGTAATAGAAATGGCTTAGTGGCTAAAATCATGACTGCTCTTGCAGAGGACCCAGGTTCAGTTCCCATGTAGCAGTTAACCACCATCAGTAACTCCAGCTCCAAGGGATCCAGTGCCCTCTTCTGACCTCCATGGGCATTGCATAACACAGGTGCACTTACATACATGCAGGCAATACACCCATACACATAAAATAAAAATAAATATTTTTAAGTACTACTACTAGACTATAAAGTTTTTTACTTTCTCAAGTATTCTTTCTTTCAACTTGTCATAGTAGTGTGGTTTTTTATTGGCTTCAGTGTCATTCTATTAAAGATATATTAAAATTTTAAATTAGGGGGCTAGAGAAATGGCTCAGCAGTTAAGAGCACTGGCTGCTCTTGCAGAGGACCCAGGTTCAAGTCCCAGCACCCACATGGTGGCTAACAACCATCTGTAACTCCAGTTCCAAGGAACTTGATGCCCTCTTCTGACCTCTGTAGACATTGCTTACATACATGCAGGCAATACACTCATACATATAAAATAAAAAAGAATAAATATTTTTAAAATTTTTAATTAGCATGAATTTTATCATTCATCTTTTTATCGTGTGATTTCCAATGTCAACTGCAAACTTAGAAGCATTCCAGTCATATGTGGAATGACTGGAATGACTAGAATGACAAGTTTGCGTTTATGTGTTTATGCTACCTTTCCTTTTTTCTTTTTTTTTTTTTCTTTTTTTTTTTTTGGTCTTTTTGAGACAGGGTCTCCCTGTAGCCCCAGCTGACCTGGAACTTGTTATGTAGACCAGGCTGGCCTTGAACTCACAGAGCTCTGCCTGCCTCTGCCTCCCAAGTGTTGGGATTAAAGGCATGCACCACCATGCCTGGCACCTTTTCCATTTTTAGCTGTAGACAAATATCTATTTCATTGTGACCAGAACAGTGGGAATGCCATACCAGATGAACTCAGCCGTCTTCATTCCACTCCTTGGTATGTGTCCTGCATCATTCCTGCACCTTCAACATGCTGGCAGGGAAGGAAGAACTGAGGAAAAGAAACTAGAACATAACACAAATAAGAACGAATAGACAGGGGTTCATAGTCGTTCATGTTTTTGGAATGCCTCGCCTTCTTTCTGTATTCTAAGCTTGTTCTGGTTGCAACCTTGGCTTCTTGGAGCTGACCACACCCCACTTACTCACTTGTAGACATAACACACTTGCCTTGTACTAATTTGAGTCTTGTTGAGCCCTATGTCTAACAGGTCCACAAGAAGTCTGTGCCCAAGGGCACCATGTATACCATGTGTGAATGTGGCGACCAAGAAGCAGACAGGGAGATTGTGTGTGTATCTTCTGAGCATGTGTATGCTCCATTGTCTCAAAAGACTTTATTACAAAATAAGTTCAAAGATTAAATTCCTATTTCTGAATGGTGGCAAGCAGAGCATCAAAACATGCAAGAGGCCCTCCTCAGTGTGGGACCTCAGGCAGCTGCATAGGAGATTACATGCCCATACCACTGGCCCTGCCCTTTTGATTCTTATACTGAGTTCACACCACAAAGACCAAGTTCCTGCAGGATCCCAGCTGGTCATAATTCCAGCGGATATTTATAAAGGGAAGTTAGGAGAACAGGCTACAGTCTCCAGTAGTTACAGTCGGTACCTGGGCTATCACTGATACTATCTCCCTCCCTTGTCTCCACCCATTGTAGATTCTCAAATCAAACTTCTGGGTGAGATGACTCAGACTCTTATCCTTCAAGAGTTTAAGCCCCTGTTTCCATGCCCTGATTGTCCCCATGTACAGAAGCACCAGAGGTGTTCCACTAGGTTACCTTAGTGTTATATATCTCCCTCATATCCCCATTACATAGTAACAGCCCTACCAGCTATGGTAACACCTTCCCATAACTGCTGGTCTACTATCGTGGAGACCCTAAGTCCATAGCTGTAGAGTTAGTGTAACTCTCCCCTTGCCTAATACTAAAGTCTTACAGAGCTATAGAGCCTAAACTTGTAAGGACAAGAAACCCCAATTCCCATGGTAGATGGGAAGATGCTATAGAAAGTGGATAATCCTACTTGGTTCCCAAACTCATGTTTTCTATCTACTAGGGAGAGATTGGTTTAAAATATCTAGAAGAATACTCCCCCATTCTATAGAATGTCATTTCCAATCTAGTGGATATAATATGTGCATCTATAATGTTGCTCTGTTTCACTTCACTCTGAGGTCAGCATCAGATTTTGAGTGACTGGGTTTTTATACAGGTAGTGGACCCCAAAGTTTTAAGATCACTATGGTCCTTTTGCTGGAAAATAAGCTCCTTGGACTAAGAAAGTGTTGTATTTTTGCCACCTTGGTGAATCAGATACTCTGAACCCTCAGAGAACAGTACTAACCACAGCCCCAGTCCACAATTAGAGAGAGGTATACAAGTGTAATTCTCACTGTAGGCGATCACACACTATCATGTTTGACTAAGAGACTCACTTCAGTATCCCTCAATATAAGGGATCTGTTTGATAATTCATATAATATTAGGATGGTTCAGACTCTTTAGGGTTATATTCTCTCACAATATGACCTTAAATACAGAAAACAGGAAATTTAACACAGTCCTGGAGCAAGACTGGGATGCACATGGTTGCCCATCCTAAGTGAACACAAGTCACAATTTTGGCAATTGTACCATTACTTCTTTCCAGGGACCATCAGTGTAGGATATATATAAGGGTCCTCATTGCCAGTAGAATAGTAAATTATTCACCTCCAGAATACATTTTAGGGTCTACTTAAACCAATAAACTGTTTCATACTGTCTCAAGTCAGGTGCCCTAGACACAGAACCTGAGCCAGGATTCAGCTGCATTAGATTTCTTAAATCAGTATTCTTCAGGAAAACTCTTTAAAAGCATGAAGGAAGAAAGCAAAGGTTGTGCAGTGTAAGATGTGGTCATACATAAAACAAACCTTGGTTTGGGCTTCAGAGGAGCTCAGGAGCATAAGCTGCAGCAAAGTTCTCTTGCTCTCTGAGTCAGCCCTTTCTACCCTCCAATCTGTCGTCTTTGGCTATGAACTCCCCGAGGGGTCATGTAAGGATCAGAGATAGATGTAAAAGTGTAGTTCTCCAGAGCAAGGATCACTCTGAGCTATTAGCTGCAACTTGCAACTAAGGCATGGGTACACCGACCAAATGAAGGGGTGGGGGTTTCTTATACTGCCTACTGCAATTGCTATTCATTAAATTAAATTAATATTCAAGTTTTGAAAAGCATTCGATAGGAGAGACCACATCTCCCACCAATCTATTAGAGTCTGACCTGGTGATGCAGTGTCTTATTTATACTTCTGTCTGCAGTGCAAGACTCTGTACTCCTCTTGTGGCAGACGCTTAGTCCTGTTCTTTGTACGTCTCACTTGGAAACTAGTACTGACTTAATTGTTAGCAAACAAGCATTTATCTAATGGAGGGCAGTTTAGGGTAGATCACAGAGCTATTTGAACTCCGGTCTAAATACTTTGAGCATTATTCTGTTGGCAGTGAGGACAAACGTGGAAGGCTTTGTTGGCAGCAGTATTAAATATGTTCTGGGCCAAGGACAGAGAGGAGAGACTAGCCAAGAGCTATTGCAGCAACCCAGGCAGAGTAACAAGAGGTGGGATGTGAGCAGAGTGTGGAGAGGAAGATGCAAATGTAATTAATGAGTATTCTCTCCAGGATCCAGATGGTCCCAGGCCCACATCCAGTACAGAGATCAGCAGGGATGTCATCTAGCAAGTGTGTTAGGAGTATTGTGCATTTACGCTCTCAAGCAGATAGGAGTGTTTCTCATGCTTGGATGGAGAAATTCTGAGATGATGCGTGCACATGGGCTTTATCATTGCCATGCACAATTAGGCAGACTCTCTAAAGCAGACATGGGAGTATTCTTTTCCATCCCTATTTTGGACAGAACTCCACAATCATGAGAAACCCAAGATTGTGGGTATGAAATATGCACCGTTATCACACGTGGGGTACTTAAAACTGAATCTCTGTTTTCAAGTTCATGCTATACTGTACCACAGCTTCCAAGGCTGAGGTTGGAGCACATAGTTCTCAGCTAGATTCTGGACTGTATCCAGTTTGGAATAACTTCTCTATGACTCAGGTGGATCGTATACATACCAGGAAATACTATTTTGTCTGAACTCTTCCAAGGCTTTTCTATATGGAAAGCAATATACATTCCTGTCTGTGACTCTTGGCCAGGTGTCTGCTGTTCACATTGTTTTTCGAGAGCCGGTTTCTGGGAGCCCTGTTACATGGACTGGACCTGGATTTGCCAGGGTTCTCCCTGGAGCTGGCCTGAGATTTGCTGTCAACAACATTCCTTTTCCCATGGACTTCACCATAGCTGTTCGCTATGAAACCCAGGTACTCATTAACTCTCAAGGGGAGAAAGACTGTTTCTGTGTCAGCTTTGCTAGAAGTACATCATAAAATGATTTATAAAAAGTAGAACATCTGGAAAGCTTTATAACCCAAAGGGCTTCCTGAAGATGCTGGTGCAGCACCATGAGCTGTGTGCACATGTGCTTCATCCAGGGAGAAAAACTAAATCTGGAGTTACATGTTTCAGGGGCTTAAGGAAGTGGTGACCTAGTGTTTGTGTAAGCATAATAAACAGCTAAAGATAACATAAATTCTGCCCTCTTGGGGCTCTTTCCCTAAAATAAATGAATAACCAACATATGTGTAGAGATTTTCAACCAGAGGTGATGCAACAGAAGCTTTGGTGTGCATTCAGACCTTACCCCACAATAAGAGAAGAACTAAAAGCAGGTGGTCCCTCCTGCCTCCCACTGCCACACTGCTCACCCCTCTCATCTTGAAAGACACCTGGGACAGAATCCATACAATTAGAAAATTAGCCTTCTTAACTTTTTCTGGGACGATCTGACATCTAACGCTCTTCTTTCAACCATGTTTCATGTAGGAGTGGTCTTAGAGGCCCCAAGGCCCCTTGGGAGACCACATTCTGAAGATAGTCATTACACATTATGTGACCAGAGCTGCTGGCCCATTTTGGAACTCTTCATAGGACATAATTCTATCACACTTACAAATAAAAGCCAAGGATTTTCAATGAACTTTAACCCAGTGAGCATGAAATCCATTTAAAAAAAAAAAAAAAAAAAAAAAAAAAAGAAAGAGGTGGCCTGAGCTTAAAAAAAATCCCAAAAAAGAATCAACTGCAAAAATTC